TATTATTTGTTTGTTTTTGTTTTTGACCTAGAACCTACAATGAGACTTGGAGCAGATAGATTATTACAGTAATATTTGTCAATATTTGTCAATATTCCAATGGGAAACCTACTTTAAAGTCTTAGATCCACGAAGAGAAAAATTTAAAGGTCATACATGAATTTAAAAAAATTATTACAAACTGGTATGTGTGAACAGAAGTAATTATAGTTTATAGGAAATGAAATATAAGAAGTTCGACTCACTTAAAAAATTAAAAACAGAGGACACAAGTCTATATTTAGTATAATAAATGCAAACATGTACTATTTTTTAAATGTGTACATTTGAGAAATGCAGGAAGAGTGTTAGGAGAGAATTTGCAGTTAAAGAAAAGGAAGGGAAAAATGATGAAAGATTAAGAAGTCTGTGGATATTTTTAAAATTCAAAGCTAAGTTATCAATGCTCTTTATAACTCAGATTTTGATTTAAATATTTAAGCATTCAATTAGATATTAAAACCTAAAACAATTAGCCTAGCTGGATTTTTAAAAAAATTTTGTTCAAGGATTATTCTTGAAATATTATTTCCCATTAAGTTTTAAAATTTGCATTTGCATCTAAGGAAATATTTTATGCTGAAATTTTGATACATGAATTCTAAAAACTACTGTGAATTTAATTAGTCATGTCTAAAAATCCTTCTAGTAATCAAAGTTTGTCTTATTGTTTCTACTATAGACTACATATATATATATTTCTAAGGGGTTAGACTGCCTGAATCATAATAACTAAAGTTACTTTTAGATTACCCAGTTCTCCAAATTAATATTTTTCATTATACAGTGATTCTAATTGTTGGGATGGGAGAATATTAAATGACATAAATCAGAAGATCTCAATAGAAGATCCTTTAAGAATAAATTTATAATTTATGGCACTTCCAAAGATTTTATCCTTAAACTTTAGACTTCTTTTGATACATATATAGGTTTATGTGTATATATGCAGTTGGGGAAAACTGCTGCTTCACTATTGCTTCACTAAAGACTTTGATGAGACCACGTTCAACTTCCCATTTATACTTCTATTAAAGTTGAGTGCTAAGACTGCTTCCCTTCCCCCGGAAGGGAAGACCTGCTAAGATTCTTTTTCTCCCGAAGTCTTATTATGTCATTTTTGGCTCCTATTGTTCCTTGACCCTTTTTCACCTTCTTTGAAAATTTTAACACTTTTTCACCTCATCTGATGCATTACCTCTAATAACCAAAAAAGAGCTAACATTAGGTAGATAGGAAATGTGAAAAAGATATAAGGACCAGTTGTACCGCCCGCTTGTCCCCTCAGCACGTTTCTCTCTGACGTTGTTAACACAGTAAGGTGGACCTCAGCGCATGCTCCCTTCACTCTGGTTTAACTGAGTAGCCAGTGTCCCAGAGTGGACCTGTTGGAACACCCTTAGCTAAGGAACTCTCCATACTGCTTTTCTTCTTTACTCTTGAGGGCTTCCTTCATTATCCTTATTTTCCCACTGAACTTTTTTTCATTCCCAGAAACCAGTTGGATTATTTCCCAAAAACAAAGAAGAAAAAATGGGATTATTTTAGTAGTTAAGAGGTACACTGGATGGTATGGCAACTCAAAGGTGGTGGGTCTGAGATAAATGTTGGGTATGGCATTAGGCCAAACCCATAGGAGAACTCTCAAGGAGAAAAAAGAATTGTTCAATAAACCCTTAACAGTAAACTGTCCACACGTATTTTTTAAAAGACTTTATTTATTTATTTGAGAGAGAATGGGGGGGGGGAGTCAGAAGGAGAAGCAAACCCCCTGTTGAGCAAGGAGCCGGGTGCAGAACCCCATTCTGGGACTCCAGGATCATGGCCTGAGCTGAAGGCAGTCACCCAACCAACTGAGCCACCCAGGCGACCTGTTCATATGTATTAAATTACTATTCTGGAAACATGCCCGTAAATACTGTATAGCAACTGAATTAGTATTCCCATTTTCAAAAAAACATTTTTTCAAGTCAAATGAAGAATCATATATTCATTCTTACACAGTGATAAGATTATATTCCTAAACATCTCCCCCTGCCTCATTTATTCTCAATTGCTTTGAATGCCCCAGCTTTTCCGCTAATCATTGTGTAAATTAACATGTTACTTTCATACTTTGTTTATACTTGCTATATATAAAATACACACACATATATATTATATATATACTATAAATATATACATACTAAAAATAAATACTTAGTTGTTCTGCATATATATACATAACATATACATATGTACTTAAACATAAGTGCAAATACATTATACTTAAAGGTATAATAAAATTTTAAATCAAATATAAAAAATGTTTTAACTTTCATAAATTGTCTTTCCAAAATTTTATGGATATGCACTTCCAAGCATAATTATTCATTGTTTTCTTGCAAGACAGATGTAAGAATATTTTGATTTTATTTAAAAAACACCAAAACTCTTAATTTGCTTCTAAAGCAACAACTTTATTTTAGTACTAATTAGTACACTTGAGGCAGACAACTTCAAAATCTATGTTATTAAGTATGCAATAGCATTAGGTGCTGTAAAAGCCACAAGTCATACAAAGGGATTCTTGACATTACTGCTCTATTATTAGAGAGGGCTGATACAATGATCATATAATTTTTAACGCCATACATTGAAAGGGCAAAGAAAGATTAGTACATTTTCCTACTTGATTTCGGACACAATTCAGTATTAGAAGTTTTGTAGATTTACTACTTCCGAGTATTTCAGCATCTGTCTTCTGAAAAATATGCACTTCTCTCATTTAAGACTTCTGTAAATATGCATGAACTAATTTATTTGTCTAAAGTTGCACTATTGTTCTACTAGTGCTCTTATGCACACAGATTCAGTTCTGGGACTAAAAATAAACAACCTAAATTTAGAGCTTACCTAAAAAAAAAAAAAAACAAAAAATCAGGAAATAAGCATTTATAAAAGATTATTTTTTTATTGAGCAAATAATCATCTGCTCTTTGCTCCCAAGCACTTTGCATCTTTTGTCATGTCAGCTCACCCCTCAGACCTCTGCAGCTCTGTTTGTGTCCATGTCATATATCCAACCCAGACTTGCTCATGAGTTCCAGAACAGTACAATAGACATCCTACTAAACATCACCTGAATTTCTCATGGGCTCCTAACACTCAGTAATCTGAAAATATCTTTTACTTTACATTATCAAATAAGAGCACCACGATTCATCTACCTAACCTGGGATTTATTCCTGCTGTCTATTTCCCCTTCATCCCCCTCATCCTATATTTTCTAAGATTTTCTCTCTGAAAGAGTTCCTGAATCTACTCATTTGTCTCTGTTCTTCTTGACACTGTTTCTGGCACTGTACTTATCATTTCTTCTTCTAATCAATTGAAAATCCTTCTAAATAATTTCTTTGTCTATCAGACGTATCTTATATTGCCCTGAGAATTATTCTAAATTATATATTTGAAGATATCAGTATCCTATCTGCAAGTATTCAATAACTTTGGACCAACAACCTAGAGCATCAATGCTAACCCTCCCCTGACATGACATAGAATTTCTCCTAAACTCGGCCCTAGCCCTCCCCTCTCCTCCCCTTCCTCCTCACTCCCAACCTCAGCTTCTGCTCTCTCCTATCTCACACCTCTCATCCCAGTGCTTCCAGACTAGTATAATCCCCAATGGAGCAACATCAGTGCTTTCCCCTCTGCTGGCAATGTTCTTCCTGAGAATTTTCTTCCTGGAAAACCCTTACTTTATTTGTCAATTTAACAATAGTTTCCCTGTAATGATTTCCCTGGGAATGTCTTTGTCAGACTTTGGACACTTTCTTTTCTTATGCTGCCACTGAAACTTTTCATACATCATCTACATTTGTCTGTGCACTCCTTACACTGTTTGGTAAGGACCTGTTGAAAGTTCCTCTAGACCATCTCTGATTTTCTAAAGAATGGGGGAGGGGGAAGTACAGGGAGGAAAAGGAAGTGAAAATGAGGGTGTGGAGAGGGGTTGAAAAGATGGGAAATGTGGCCTGGCTTGTAAAAGATACAAGAATGAGACCTTCTTAAGTGATTTCCCTAAATTCTTATTCATCCCATTCTCCAGTATGTGCTCTATTACAAGTGTTCTAATTTCTATCAATAAGTATAGATTGCTCACCCATAGGATGTAGATTACAGATTTCACTTTTAAGAAAAGGATGATATTTAACGAAGAGATCTTGTTAACCTTGAGTAAACATGAAAAGTTACACATTCTGACGCAGAACCCAATTATCATTTTCTCAACTAGAAGCTTGAGCCTCAAAGTGCAAATTGCTCCCTCACCCATCTGCTCCCCAAATTTGTACCATTCATATTGTTCATTATGCAACAGCCTCGTGGCATTCACTACTAGAAGGCTGTTGGTTCAGCCTGTTCACTCAGAATCTTGATGCCCTTTGCGTGATGGTCTGAACATGATTTTTTTTTTTTTTTTTTTTTTGCTGCGAGTTTGGTGTATGAAAGAGATTCAGTTCACTAGGAAATCAACACATTTAAATACAATGCTGAGTTTAATTTACACTACATTCATGAGTGGATCTCATCTTGCCAAACTGAAAGAAAATCAACAACTAATATTGATAATATAAGTAAGGAGATGGGGCAAAAATATTATTAGAGTTCTTGAAAAAAAAAGTATCTTAGTCTGAATTCATATGAGTAAATATCTTAAAATATCATTTAAATTTTTCATTTATATTTTAATGTATCAGAAATTTTACTCCATAGGAGGTTTGGGGACATATATTGGGCATATATTTCTTGAATACTAAGTATTTAGTAGATCTATAAAAGTGGTTTAGAGATTTGGGAATAACAAGCACCAATGAAAATTTCTAAACATGAATTTCATGTACTTTATATTAATATAATATATGTATCTTAAGAGGAATAAAAACTACATTTTGTGTAAGATATCTTAGAACTATGATGTCTTAACTTCTGGGTATACATGTGTCTGGTTTGCTGCAAATCCATTTCCTAACCAAGTGCTTACTGGCACTACTAATCCCAATTCTGTGTAAATAGGCACATTTTCCAATTCCAATTATTTTAAACCTGAAACAAAACACAGAAGGAAAAACGAAAGGCAATAGATTGGTGAGCACTGTTTGGAAGAATTAGTGAAACAAATTTTTTCTGCCATGAGTTTTTTTTTTTTTTTAATTTTTAAAAGATTTTATTTATTTATTTGACAGAGATTACAAGTAGGCAGAGGCAGGCAGAGAGAGAGGGGAAGCAGGCTTCCTGCTGATCAGAGAGCCCTATGCAGGGCTCCATTCCAGGACCCTGCGATCATGACCTGAGCTGAAGGCAGAGGCTAAACCACTGAGCCACCCAGGTGCCCTTTTTAAATTTTTTTTTCTTAAAGATGTTTCTGCTGTGAGCTTTTATCTCACCCAACACTGCAGTGTTTGAATACAAAGCAAAGTGAATTCATATGCTTTGATCTAAAATGTGGCTTTATAAACTTGAGAAATCTATAAGCTATATGATGGAGACGTGCGGGATTTATTGCCAAATACATTTTATATATGTGTTGTAAAATAGTGTAGGTCTTCACAAACGTGAACAGCAAGTAAAGTGGCGATAAATATACCTACTTCCCACAGTTGTTGTGCAGGTCAAATGAGATCACAATTATGAAGCACTGTTTGGAATACTGTAGGTATTAATACTCTGTACAGTAATATTTACATTACTACTTTTCTCTGGGCTCATTTTATTTTCCACCACAAAGGAAACTTCCAGGAGAATGGTGCATATGGACTGTAACTCAGATCTTTTTGTGGTGGCAAAGGGCTCAGAGCCCCGACTTTAGGTGTATAAATTATATACCCAGGACTTACCAGCCACTGTATATGGTTCCATCTATCCACTTCCACGTCTGTCCTGGTTCTCGACTCAGTCCAATCCAATACTGAGAATGGTCAGAATATCTTTTCAGGAAATCCTTTAATAGAGTATATTTATAGGATGAATAGCAAATGCTTCATTCAGTTGCATTTTCTTTTGTCTCAGTATACTCTTTATAGAAATACAGACTTTTATATTTGGAAGTGATCATAGAGGGGACAGCATCCTTATCTGGTTCACAGTTTAGTTCAGGGTTGGGTTACTTCTCTAACAATTATCATAGTAAATTGCATTGAGTAGCTTTCTTTTGTATTTTCCAAAGAGTTTTTAAAAGACAGAAATGGCCTGTTCTGTGATACCTTGCTCCTATTTGCCAGTAAATCCTAGTTTTGGTGTCTTTTATGATGGGAGAATCTTAACAGTAAGATAGTTGGTTCATCCAGGTTTTTATATATCTTCATAATTTATTCTGATACATTATATTTTCTGATGTATTACCATTAACCTTGCTTTTTTGTTTTGTTTGGATTTGGTTAATAATTGGTTTGCATACTCTTCCTTTCATTTTCTAGCGCGCGCGCGTGTGTGTGTGTGTACACGCACTTAGGTATGTCTCTGTAAGTAGCATGTTACTGGACTTTGTTGTTTTTTTAAAAAACAGTCTGATAATTTTTGTCATTTAAGAAACAAATTAGAACATTCATGTTTTATCATGATCACTGTTATATTTGGATTTATTAAGGTTGTGTTTTCTGACTACTAGTTTTTCTTTGTTCTTTTACCTTTTCTGAATTTTATAGGATTGACACTTTTTCTACATCTTTAATTTATTTGAACACCTTCATTTGTTAGGACATTTTTTACTCCTTGGTGTTTACCATTTATCTAAAAATAAATGCCTGTCTATACATATCTCAATATAGGTTGTCTAAACAATTATTTAAATAATTGTGGAGGCAATTATCCATTTCTTCAAAGTTTTCAAATTTATCGACATAAAATTATTTGAAGATTTTATGCTTTTAAATACCTACTGTTTGTATTTATTAGGTGCATGTCTTTTTCCCTTTTCTGTGATCAATCCTGTCTATGCACAGAACCAGTTTTGTTTTGTATATCCTCACTATTTTGTTGGACTTTTTTATGTTTATTCCCCAAATTATTTCGATTACTGTGCTTTTAGTTAAAATATTTCTTTTGTTTTGTTTTAATATTCATTTCTCATTTTTTCTCTGCTTTGGTTTTTCTAGATTTATTATTCTATAGGATGGACTATATGACTTCATTTATATTTTTCAGCCATCCAAATGTACTTATCTAAAAATCTTTGTCAGAATGGTCTACCAAATTAATATCAATTTGGGACAATCCCTCTTCTGTCCTTTCCTCGTAGAGTATATGGTCAGTAAATGTTAAATATATCCCTATGCTCCTTGAGGTCTTAACTCTTCTGCCTCCTAACACTTGTTGTTCTACATCTCTATTATTTCAGGTTTGTGGAGATTTGTACTGTGTGGTTGGTTTCTCCATTGATCTTTTTCTGTGCCAGAAGCTCCAGACCTTCTAGGTTATAGTGACTCATTTTAAGTCCTTTCCAGTATCTTTGACAAGTGGTTTGCCATAACTTTCTGCTTATTATGTTTTTGAATATAGTGCCCCCAAAGGCAACTTTAGTTTGGTGTAAAATAGGTAGGTAATAATAGTTCATTAATGAGGGCTTTATTATGGCTTCATGGGCCTGAACTTCGTGGGAGGTGGTTTTGGGTTTTCCCTGGATTTTGGTGCTGTATTCCAACTTGAAATGTAGAGCTGGGTAATATGTAGTTGAACTTCTTTGGACAATAGTTGGGGTCTTTCTAGTGGGTAGTAGTATATAAATTGCTCTATACAGAGTATAGGGAAAATGCCTACTATGTAACTTATTTCTAAATTCTTTTTACTCCCACTTGAAAAGTCAAGTAGGGCAGTCATCTCCTGATAAGTTGTACTCTAAGGGTTGCTCTGACCTGATGTGAGCTCTTTCTACGATTAAACTGATGTGGATAAAAAGGGCTTTGAGGCTGGGTGAGAGGGTCTTTTCTGGCTCTTTCCATTTCCAGTGCCTTCTCCACAACAGCTATGATCTCTGAAAACATAATTATAATTCAAAAGAATTGCCTTACTAAGTTGAGAGGCAAAGTGGGAGGTTTTGGGGGTAGGGAAGGAAAAAATGAAACAAGATGGGATCAGGAGGGAGACAAACCATAAGAGACTCTTAATCTCACAAAACAAACTGAGGGTTGCCAGGGGAAGGGGGATAGGGAGAGGGTGGTTGGGTTATGGACACTGGGGAAGGTATGTGCTATGGTGAGTGCTGTGAAGTGTGTAAACCTGGCGATTCACAGACCTGTACCCCTGGGGTTAATAATACATTATATGTTAATAAAAAATAAAAAAAATTAAAAAAAATTGCCTTACCAGTTCTTCTGTGGTGTTGAAGACAGCAAGAGTGGCTAAATGAGAGGCACAGAAGTTCTGGCTTGCTGCCCAGGTTCTTGTACTTTCAGAAAAATAGAAGCACTTTCCCAGGTAACCAATCCAGCCATTCGAGCATGGCATAGGTTCAGTGGAATATCTGTGTTTTTCGACTGAAAGTGATTTAATAACATATTAACTACTGGTGGCATAACCTGAATGTCCTGTTCTGAGATATAATAGAATTTAATTTAAAACAGTTATCTTATCCACATCAGTGAAATTCATCAAACTAGCTTGGCCCTTTGATCTGAAGGTTTTGGACTTCATTAATCATTCTTTATTTTTCTCCAAATGAGGTCAACTCCTAAATGTTTGTATTTATTTTTCTTGCTAAATTGAAAGAAATCCTTGGGAGATGGCACTCATGTATATGTTGTTATGGATCAGATTCAGGGGTGGGTGTCTTCTCAAGTGACACACTCACCTAGGAGAACATAGTCATTCTCATGACGTTATATCATGTTTATACAGATAATTACTAAAGTGATATGCCCAACCCAGCCTCTCATCAGAAATTTCCCATATACAACTATCTAATGGACACCCATTCATTGAATAACAAAGTATTTGTGAGTACACACTCTGCTAAACACTGTTGTATATGTTTATTAGAGACATAGTCCCTGCCATCACTGTGCTGAGTCTAGTGGGGCAGATAGATATTCAACAAATAATTACAAAATCAAGGAATGGTACAAGCGGAATAGCCACAGGTACTGAGAGACAATGAGTTGAGGGGAACTGGTCTAGTTCAAGGATGGGAATTGGAGTAGACATTTCAGCTGACACTTTAGGGATGCAGAGAGCTGGATCGCCAGATGAAGAATGAGGAAGGCACGTTCTCAGAAAAGAGGAAGTGAATGTGTAAAGGCCCTGGGCTGAGTGATCTTTTCACTTGAGAAAGGAATATCAATCCAAGTGGAGTATAGAGAGAAAGAACAAACATAACAAGAACTGAGGCCAGAAGAATGAACAGGAACGAGACGTTGCTTATGTACACGGTAAAGATTTTACAACTTATACTAAAAGGATTGTTCCAAACTAGAGATAGGTGATGATGTATGGGCTGGATGGATGGCATGTTGATTCATAAAAAAAAACTGTCAGAAGAAAATCAGATTTGGGAAAAAGACAAGTGTTCCATTTGAAGTGTATGAAAACAACTAAGTGGGATATATCTGATCCAGTTCTACCTATGCTTCCACTAAGCTTAAACCATGTTTAAAGTCTAGCTTTTCTTTATTTTTGTTTTAATTTTTAAAAAAGATTTAAAAATTTTACTTTATTTATTTATTTGAGAGTGAGCAAGAGAGAGAACACAGAAGACAAGAGCACAGAGAGAGAGGGAGAAGCAGACATCCCACTGAACAGAAAGCCCGATGCGGGGCTCGATCCCAGAACCCTGAGATCATGACCTGAGCCAAAGGCAGCCACTTAACCAACTGAACCACTCAGGTGCCCCTAAATTTTTCTTTAAACTATAATGAAATGTGCATCAGGATTTGATCTTTGTTTACATCTTTGGCTTTATTTTGTCTTATTTTTCTGTAGGCACTTTGTTTTCCTCTTCATTTCCTTGTATACCAAGCTTGTTGTAGTTCCTAATACATGTCATGTTACTTTTAGGTGATATATGGGCCTTTGTTCATGCTGACCTGTGTTCCCCAATGCCACAGCCCCACCCTAACTTGCAGTAAAAAAGTCCATCCCTGTCCAACTGGAAAGTATCTACTTGCATTTCAATAATCTATTATGTTAAAGCTAATTTCCTCTACAAATTCCCTCTACTCTATCCCAGTGGAATTGATCATATTCTTTTTTCCATGCTTTTGGCTTCTCATAGACCATCAGATTTAATACATTCTAGTAATGACTATAAATTTTGCCTCTTTTTTCTCTATCCCAGCACCTGAAAATTGTCATGTCTGTTTGCTGTATAAATAAACAAAATATATAACTGTCATATGTCTCTGAGAAAAATCTATGTAACCATTCTCAAGCATACCTAAGAGAAAGAAAAATTTTTATTCTAGACCTGATTAGATTTTTGACTTATGTATTGCAGACTATTTTAACCTAAGCATTAATATCTATTATGTACGAAAAGTCTAGTTTTATGCCAAAGCCCAAAATCAATCATCTGATCTGGCATAGGAGTTCAGCATATTTATTTCTCCTCTCCTAGATTATGTTAAATAACCCTTATTTTTACTTAATAACTTTAGAAAATCAGAGTTTCAGCACTACAAGCAACACTAAAAATTATCCTGTCCAGTCCTGTGTTGTATAGATAGGGAAGCTGAGATGTTAGACCCTAGAAGACTTATAACCAATGACAAAACCTCGAGATGGAATTCTGGCCCCACATTTCAGTATCACTGCAGGATAAACCATATTAACCTTTATAAACTGTCTAGAGTGTAATGTAATACAGTTTATAAAATAGTCTTTTGAATATAACTTGAATCAGAGAACAAAATGAGAATTCTTAGGAATTCCATTGACTAAATTCCACTGAGGGAAAATTAAGAGCCTCTGGTAAGGATGGCCTGCACGGACTTCAGCAGGTGGCCTAGAAGAAACTCTTTCTAATAACAGGTTGAACATATTTTATTTCCTTTAACAAATTACTGGGTGCTTATATTATATAAACTGTAGGAAATAAGCTCATTTAGGAAGACAGAACATTGTAGACGTGGTAAAGAACAGTGAATAAAGTTCAGAAGACTTAGATTCAGTTTGTAACTTTACTTAGCTGTGTTTAGATAGTCAGCTACTATCTCTGAAATTCAAAGTCGTACATAACAAAAGACAATAAGGGAAATAATACTTCATTACTTCTCTGGGTCACTCAAAAATGCAAATAAAATATTATGTGTTAAAATATAAAGCATAAAACGCTTTTTAAATATATAGCTTTATCAAAAACCTTTTTCCTCCTCCTTTTCCTCCAACTCTTCCTCCTCCTCTTCCAACTCCTCTTCCTCCTCCACCTTTTCATTATCCTCCTTTTTCTCCAGTTGAGTAAGTCCCATGAGGGCAAGAATCATTGGTCAACACCTAACATAATGCCCATTTCACATAATGATTTTTTCTCTATCTCCTTATCTATATATCTATCTATCTATCCATCCATTTATATATATACAGTTTACTTACATATTTATTCATTTCTATACATATGTAAATATAGTCAAGTATATGTACATAATCATGTATATATGCAAGGCTTAATGCCTAGTTGATAGTATAAGCTTGGTCATTATAGCTACACTATATAAACTCATTTATACATATTTATGTACACATTTATGTATACAAATGTATATAATACATATGCACATTAATTTCTACAAATTACATATCCATGTATAATATATACATTTATAATACATATATTCATGTATAAACCATATACATATTTTTATATGCACATCTATATAAACATATTCTTGTGTATATTTTTAAACATCTTGTTAAAACTGCTTCAAGTTATTTTTAGCATACATGTGCATATTTTGCCATCATGAGGGGGAGATATATCATTCTAAACGTGCTTTTAGAGGCTAAAAGTAATCTATATTTTGTATAAAAAATATGGTCATTAGTATAGTAACAATTTTTTCTTGTCCAATTCTCTATAGCTCACATGTAGAGCTATGAATTATGATTGGGACTTGTAAATCTGACTGCATCATTGAAAGCTGCTCAATCAGAGAGAGAGCAGATGTTTTACACCTTTAACTCAGTTTCCCAGTCTTGTAAAAATAGTCATTAGCTAAAAGCAGCTTGAAAAAAGATACCAATATTTATGTAAAAGTTTATGGTTTAGGGAAAGGTAATCCATGTCTAGATAATGTTCTATAAACTGTTTGCTATTATATGGTTTGTAAAAGAGTCTCCAAAGGGAGATAAGGACCTTGTGGCACATTGGTAACTAACTGTGTCACCAAATATACTGTACAGTGATTTACATTTTTACCATGATCCCCTTACCTTGTAAGGACTATAGCTAATACTGGTTTAGAAGGAAGTTTCATATGTATTAAATTACTATTATCCTTACAATATGCAGTATAGATATTACCTCATTTTATAGAAGAAACATATATTCATCCCATGTACAAAAATGTCTGAAATTACCCTTAATCTTGAGCTACAGTGTAAAAGGCACACAGATGATGTAATATTTTGTAGTAGAGTTAACATGAGAATATTTGGGAAGTGGGCAACTCACCTGCTAAAATTGTGGCCAGTGTAGTTATCAAAAGCACCAGGAAGAAGATGACAGTGGTGATAATTTTAGAGCTACAAAGGTGCTTTTTATCCCTTTTTGAGGGTCCTTGTGATTTTCTAGTAAGGTTGAAAGTAATAACATCTCCTATAAAGAAATCAATTTTTAGTTATTTTTAGTTACAATCAGTTTTTAGTTACTAAAATGGGAGTTTAGAATGTTGTAGGAATAAGGTCAATATATACAAACTGATTATATTTCTATATGCTAGCAGTGATCAATACAAAATTAAAATATACTATTTACAATAGCATAAAAATATTAAATACTTATGGATAAATCTGACAGAAGACGTGCAAAACTTGTACATTGAAGACCAGAAAACATTGCTGAAATAAATTACAGACATAAATACATGGAGAAAGATACCATTTAAGTGAGTCAGAAGACACAATTTTGTGAAGATGTCAATTCAACTCAAATTAATTTATAGTTTCATCACAATTCCAAACAAAATTCCCAGCAGGCATTTTTTTTTGGAAAGTAGAAATTGGCAAGCTGTTTCTAAGCATTTTAATGTATGTCAATTTTATCTAATAAAGCTATTAAAAATCATACCAAAAAAGTTACCTTTTATCCACAGAGTGTGGATCTTTATAAGATACTTTGGAAAGATAGCTAAAAATAATATGACACAGAGAGAAGAAATGAAGAGAATGGAGATACCAACTCTCTCAGGAGGGTTAGCACTCAGAATTGATAACAGGTGCCCATCAAATGTAAATTTATTTACTTTACAAATAGTGCATAAAGCCTGGCATACGTGTGCTTCTTACCTGAGGACTGGGAATCTCCTGAGTTCGTCAGTGTTCTGTTATCATCCATGCCTCCTTTTCAGCAAAGCAAAAATACAGATTGGTTGTAAGGAAAGCACTGGATTCAAGATCCCTGCCCACTGTTAGATCTCCTGTCAGTAATATAAAGACAGTCTAAAATAAGGATATAGAGTTAAAGACTAAAAGGAGTTAAAGAGTTAAAGTCTAAAAGGAGAACACAGTGTTACAACATCCTAAACTGAGAATACCACACTAATATAAGAATTATGATGAATTACCTCAGAAGTCTGATCAATGACATAACTCCTGCCTTTTTGCTACATTTCCGTCCAGATATCATTCTATCTCACTGAAGTTGGAGGAGCCACTGGAGGTGATGGGAGACTCTGACATGATTCTTCTGACTGTTGGGGTTGGCAGAAAGGAAGTGAGATCCAGTAGTTTAAGAAGCCAGCAAACTGAGTCCTCACACTATCACCCTGACCTACCAACGTTTTTAGTTAATTTTGGCCATTATGAATCCCAGTCATGAGCCAGTTCTAAAGGATTTGAACATGAAATAGCAATTTAGATTGCAGTGAAAAGAACATCAATTGTCTTTAATAGTAATAATAACAATAATAATAATAGGAACAATCATATCTCCTATTTGTTGTGTGCTTACTCTATGGTAAGCCTAGTTCTGAGCTTTTAACTTTTGTGATTTAATTTACACTCATAATCACATGAAATAGGAGCTAATTATTATCATTAATTTATAGATGAGGCAAATTCCTTAAAGTAACAGAGAGGTAAAAAGCTTTTCCTTAAAGTAAGATAGCCAATATGTGGTCAAATTGAGATATTAGTTGGCTCTGATCATTTAACCACTCTGCTCTACTGTCCTGCTTCTGTCTGTTTGGGACCTTGCTGTGAGTGTTCTCATAAGTTGAACTCCTACTTCCAGATATAGAAAGCAGACTTCAAGCTCAGCAATAACAATAAAACTATAGTGCCATTGGTATTATGCCAAAATCATTGTAGTCATCTAGTATCATTTGATATAGGTTCTCATGTATTCATGACAAACATGACAGCCTATATTTCAAAGTCCCTTCCATGAGAGACAAACAGAAAGTAATGGGTTGACATTTTTAAAAACTGGATTATAAGGTATACAGTTCTTCCTAATTTTGTATGTTGATGTCTTTAATATATGGATATTAATTCACATCTCCAAAAAACCAATTACTTCAGGAGCCATGAGTGTGTGTTAGAGAGAGACAGGCAGAGAGAGAGAGAGAGAGAGAGAGAGAGCACAACAGAGACAGAGACAGAAACAGAGAGAGAAAGAAAGATTGGGAAGACCCCTGGCTAGACACTTTTATCTGAAGCAAAAATTACCCCCACACTCTAAATGCTATTCAAAAACCATAAATTTTGCTCATGTACCAGTTAGTTATTGCCATAGTAATGCTATTTTACAAACCATACCCCAAACGCTGGCTCACTCACTAGTCTGTGGTGTGTTAGCTGAGTCGTCTGGGTTGTCGGGTTGAGGCTCAGCCTCAAGCTGTGAGTCTGTGTTCTTGTCTCTTTGCTATCCTGGGGTCCAGGCTGAAGAGGCAGCAGCTACTCCAGAAGCTTTTCTCACAGAGGTGTCAGAGTTGCAAGAGACTAAGCCCATCAACTCAGCATATTTCAAGTCTCTGGTTGACCTCAAAGTCAGGGAGTGGGGAAGTACACTTTACAACTAGTAAGAGGAATTGCAGAGCAATATATATATCTATAAGGAGTGAATCAAGGGCCAACACGTCACAAGCCTCAACTTGTTGTGTTCCTTCTTGAGGACTTCCGGTCAAATTTTCGATTGGTCTTTTAAATTTATTTATTTGTTTTTGGGATCCATCTCTTAGATCTTATTTGTTTTGTTTTGCTTTTTAAATTAAGAACTTTACCTAAGATTGCTACTTTCTGCCTCTTCTTTTTTTCCCTTATGGTCAATAGCATCGTTATTCTAAGTCAGGTCAATCTTTTTTCAAAATGAGTTCCATATAAACTTTTCTTATTTCTCCTATGTATTTTCACTTTCCTTTTTCCTTCACTCCACTATTATGCTTGCTTCATGATGGTTCTGCTATGTTTTCAAAAAGATGTGTTGCAGATACAGTACCATAACTCTGCCAGGATAAAGTTGTATAGCGATGCAAAACTAATCCACACCAGTAGTCATGATTTAACAGATGAAAGGCTGTGTTTCAACCACTGTGTTTTATCAATGAGGAAAATGAATCAAACATAAATGAGTAAATTACTTAAGGTACTCAGCTGATTGGTAAAGGCTTCTGGTTCTTTGTTTGCCAATTCATTTTCTCTCCAACATCTATGTCCAACTTTGTAGATAAACTTGCCTGGGATTTGAAAGCCTATTCTCACTTTCTTAAGACAGTCAAATCATAGACTGAGAACTAGTATTCAAATTGTTTAATTCTTTGACCCACAAATAATATTGGTCACAATTATACATCAAAGTCTAATTTGTTTCTCTCCCACCCCAATTTTACTAAATATTTTAGTTGCTTATCATCTCTCAACCAGACATTTGTGACAGCCTCTAACTAGTTACTTCTCCTCCAGGCCAGTTTCTTCCTTCTCTTTCAATCCAACATTCACATCACTGTCAAAATCTTTTTTTTTTTTTTTTTCCTAGATCACTAATCTATTCATAAGTCTCACTGCTTAATTTTTGTCAGTTCTTCTCTATCGTCTCCAAAATAAAAATTAAGCACCTTAGAATAACCCTTAGAATAACCCTAAGCAATTCAATTGTCGAATTACATTATCTGGGTCATCTCTTTTCCATCTTTTCTGTAGTGGACTTTGCATCATTTTCCAAACACACATTCTTTCACTCTGTTGCCTTAGCTCAGGCTCTTACCATTATCTGATGTTCCCTCCTCCACTTGTCTACTCAGCTCAAGAGTTGAAACCAAATTTACAATCAAATAAACAACCTACTCTTTCTCTCTCTCTCTTTTTAAATATTTTATTTATTTATTTGACACAAAGAGATTACAAGTAGGCAGAGAGGCAGGCAGAGAGAGAGAGGTGGGGGGAAGCAGGCTCCCTGCTGAGCAGAGATCCCAATATGGGACTCGATCCCAGGACCCGGAGATCATGACCTGAGCTGAAGGCAGAGGCTTAACCCACTGAGCCACCCAGGCACCTCAACAACCTACTCTACTAAATCTTTTGGCAGAGTTAGGAAACTTCCCCATCAATCTTATGCTTCTATTTTGGGTTGTATATAACTTATTATAGAACTTGCTATATTAAATTATATTTATTTGTTCATATCTATCTTTTCTAATGGACTATAAACTCCAAGATGGAAGGGACTCTTTTCATCTTTGTATCACCACACAGTCATTGACCCAAAATAAAGTGCTAAAACCAGTGTCTGATGAATGAATAAATAAAAGTTCTAGATCCCTCTTATAGAGGCCAGTTCAGCATAGTTGGACTCATCTGCACTTTGTAAAAATGAATTTCTTTTCATTGGGGAGGGTATGTGCTATGGTGAGTGCTGTGAAGTGTGTAAACCTGGCGATTCACAGACCTGTACCCCTGGGGATAAAAAGATATTATATGTTTATGAAAAATAAAATTAAAAAAAAAAAAAAATGAATTTCTTTTGACAAATTACAAAACAAGCATTCGTTCCTCCCTATCCTGTTGGTTTCTGGTTTTATTTCATGTCACTTTCCCTAGCGTAGCTAAGTTACTGATGATATTTCCCCAGGAGACAAAATAGTATGACTCTCATTAAAAACAACGTAGGTCTAACACTAACATGATTTTACTTGTCCCCTCTTGCCTGCAATTTCTCACACGGGCACCTTCGTCTTCCATTGACCTGTTGCTTGCTACCATCTCCCAAGTTGTATTTCTTTAAGAGCCAGAAAATCATCTTTTGTTAAATAAAGAATAACCAGAAATACTTAATAATTGGCAGATCACAAGCTTAATTGTGTCACTGAATTATCTCACAATATCCAATTATATGCATTTTGAAATTCTCCCTTAATTTTTTTTACTTTGAAATTGTTTGCTAGAATAGCAAGGTCATTCATTCAACTCAGACTTTTGATAATGAGCACTCTAAAAGAAAACAGGAAAATTCTCTAAAACAACTTTTTCTTTCTAGTTCTCTCCTTGCCTTGGGGGAACCTCATACTCAGAAATTTTCTCTATAGTCCTTCCAGCTCTGTTTACATTACATCTAGTTCATTGATATCCTTGTAGGTATTCAATACCTACCAGGGACATTTCAGAGCACTGACCCCCTACAAAAGCAATATGACTAACCCTCGGAAACTATGCTAGTTCTCCAGCTTAACTCCACATATTCCTTGTCCTCTGTAGGAGTCAGGCCTGAAGCAACAATAAGACATGACCCATGTTTTCAGTCCTACTAGGGAATGGAAAGGGTTGAGACAATAACTAGCAGAGCTTGAAAATTTTCAAACTTAACCATGGGTCTGTGTCATGAGGGGAAAAAAATACAGCAAAAACGTCACCTAATAAAAAAAAAAAGTACCAAAGCCAAATGCATGGGTGAGAAATGGGGAGACATAAGGAACTGCCCAAACTGGAAGTACCATGCAAGGCTAAAGCATAAACTGTAAATCTCTTCCATCCTTTTGATAATGTCATTCTCCATTCTATTTATTCTATTTATTCTATTCTATTCTATTCTAATCTGCCTTCAGAATAGTTATCCTTTTCAGTGTGTTGATACAACTTATTTGGAACACCTCAAACATGCATTTATTATTAGTTATATTTTTATATGAGTAGCCTCCTTTCTTTGATGAAATAAATATTGTTTGAAAGAATCAGCATGTCAATCTTTCAGGATAAAGTATTTTAGTACATGTCAATGGAAAGGAAAGACCAGAGTTCCTCAAATTCTTTTTCATTGCCCTCTTCCTCTTACAGTTAACCATAAACATACTAGTTGCTGAAGATATTTTAATATTTTAATATTTCTAATTGATGAGATTAATT